GAGGCTTTTGTTTATCAAGATAACATATAGTCAAGAACATCTTTCTTTACATATACCTCACATTCCCTTTTTGTGCTCATTTATCCTCTACATGGATTCAGAGGCTGACCACATGCACAGAAGAAGGATGTTGAGCAGGAGCTGTGTTTTCCATCTGTTATTTTATTAGAATTTTACAGTGAGAAGACACCAGAAGTTTTCCACCATATTTTTAAGAGGTCATTCCATTGTCTTTAAAGCATATAATCTATTTTCTTTCCAGTACAAGTGTTTGTCTCCAACAAACAGGTATTTTGCCAGCTAAAAACCAAACAAATGAACAAACCAAAAAATACAAAAGGCTTACTAAATCAGACACCCTTGACACTCAATTAATGTGAACTCTGAAAGTAAATTACAACTAATCAGGTGACAGCATATGGTAGTGTCAGAGCAGCTCAAGGCAGCCCAGTAACTGCTACAAGGACAGATAACAAAAATGTCTCATAAACTAAAGAATTTCCAAGGGTACGTAATAATAAAAAATCTGTTATGTTTTCTTGCAGTGCTTAGAAGAAATATTCCATCCCTCTCACTTCAGGAACCACGAAGTGGAGAAAGAAATCACATTGCTCTCCCAAGCTATACTGTACTTGTCAAAGGTACTGGAAAAGCAGGCTCCTGTGCCTGACTCAGCTCCTTTTTGCAACAGCCTCCCATCTTTGCAGTGTGACAGATGCATTTTCTTTGGGAGTTTTGCTGCTCCTGCTCCCTGGCACAGGGAGAAATGCACTGTCAGATCTCCATTGCTTAGCAACACGAGGAGCAGCCGCAGGAGCTTCCTACACTGCTGCAGCACCGGGCAGTCACCTCAGCAACTTTGTCCCTTGTCACGGGGGTTCATCAGTGGCACTGGCAGCAAAAGGCTAAGGCTGGACATGCTCAATGATGTGGTACAAACCAAGGAGTCCACTGGTATATCAGGGAATACTCAGCACATGAGCTGCCCCACCTGAATCCTCGAGTTATTCCCTTGGACATATAGTGGTCACCAATAACACTTAAAATGCCAGACAAAAATTCCTCATAAAAGAGAGGACAGATTTATTTGGACAAGTTTTAAGGAAGAGATAAGGCACTGCACTGAAGCCTTGGGGCTCCACCAGGTGCCACAAATGCAACCACAATGTGACTTCACTGACAATTCTCTCTTCCCCCCTAGAAGGATCCCAAGAGAGAGCTGGCAGGCAGCTGAGGTTAAATTGACTGTTTGCGTGGCATGTGAGAGAACAGGAGAGGCATGAAAGCACTATCAATGCATGAGACAGCTCTAGTGTGACAAAATACAAAATAATGACTTTATTAAATCTTTGTGCATGAGAATAGGCACATGTATATGCAAGCATCTACAACTTTTAAACTTCTAAAACTTTTTATCATTATTGAAATCTTTCCACATCCTTCAAGACATATCTAGACATGTAAGTGTCTATGGATTATGTGTATTCCTGGATCATCTTCATATAAAGCAGCTCATCTCTAGACAGAATACATCCAAATGCAAGGTCTAGAAGTGCACTGATAGCAATATGGGAAGTTTTCAATTTTGCAAGAGTTGTATCAATACTTTGCCATGTACTTATTACGTGACAAATTGCACATCTTCACTTTATTTATAGATAATTAAAATTAGCAAAACAAACCAAAAAACAAGCCCAAAACAACAAAACAAAACACAAATGTCAGAACTCTCATTTCAGAAAGCATCAGGTTCAATGACAGCCCACGATTTCTAGTTTTGCTGAGGACAGTGCTCCAAATTGCTCCAGCAATGTCTATTTTCTTTATATTGTTCCTTATAGTAGCTCAGGTTCTCAACTAAATATATTTTAGAAAAAGAGATTGAAGACTGATAGAAACTAACTACTCCATTTTACTCAAAATATTTTTTTAGTAGTACTAACTACTCAATTTAACTCAATAAAGTATCCTTACAGTTTATTCTACAGTAATTAGTTCATATGATATTGGATGCAAAGATACACCACAAACACATACAGATTAAAACTCTGAAGCATATCTGAACTAATTTAATTGTGTTTTCAGGAGATGTTCACCTACAGGTCATCAAACATGCACAGAGACAAATTATCTTCAAACAGCATGTTCCAGGTGGCTACTCTCATCTTCCAAAGCAAATCCAATCAGATTTCATTACAGAGTTTTCAACAATACCATCAACTACTCTGGTTCATGCTAAACTCAGAAACCCTCCTGAAGCAAGCTCAGTGTTTGCTGTGCTTGCTCATTATCTTACATGCATAATTTTCCATCAGCCTTTTCTCTTTACCCTTTGTGTTCTAAAGAGAACTTGATCGAGATCTCAAACTCCTTCTGCAGCAAGACCCTGCAGCTGCCATCAAATTTTTTCACCAACAAAAAAGGTCAACTTTTCTTTTTTGGCTTAACTGCTACAACCTTCAGCAGAGCTGCAAATAAAAATTAAACTGGAATGAAAATTTACACCTCTCTGCTGCATTTTCTCCTTGACTTTTATATTTCATTTTACAGGGTAGGAATAAATGCCAGCCTTTTCAAAAGCAGTTATCACCCCATTTCACCAACAGAGAACCTATTAAGGTTTGTTTCATATATAATCTAAATGTAAGTATCTTTAAAAGCTGACCCACTCCCAGTCATACTTTACCAAAGCGCTACCATACTACTAATGCCACGACCCCGCTGTGGAAGAGATGCTATTCAAGATTTTGCCTGATTACACAGTTTGAAAGACAGTATTTTTAGCAGACTCTCTTTTACAATTTACAGTCAGACATCTCAAAACAACTGGCAAGAGTTTCTTGCTGCAGGCCAACTAAAGCAAACTACCATGTTTTGTCATAAAAGTCAAACTAGTAATTGTGGAAGCCCATACACATCCTTGCTGGCATGCTTCAGTGAGGCATAGAGCATCTTGCTTTCAAGTTTATAAAGTTTATCCTTCCTTATATTTTTAATTACTTAAAACATTTATAAGAGCAGAGCCGATCACCTCATCTCCCCTTCTCTGACCCCAGACTGAAACCTGCTAGATCTTGCAATGTTAGAAACACTGTGTTCTCCTTGGCATAGATATAAACAAAAGCAGAGTCCAATGAGGAAGACTAATTACTTATTTGTCTTTGAAACTGAATTGTGTTTAACCTCACTTGGGAGTTACCAGCAAACCTGATTCCCCAAAGATTCGTGCAAAGGGCTGCTGCTCAACCAACGATACCATCTCCTTGCAGGATTTCACAGACGTGCTAGGAATTGAAATGGAAGCACAGTAGATTGCAGTAATGGCTGAAAATAGTTTAGATCAAATCATCTTTGAGATGAATAATAAAAACAGATTTTGCTGAGCATCTTTTTATTAAAACTAGCAAGAAAATTTCAAAAAAAATTAAGCAACCCTTCTAAAAAGGCAAATACTGCTGGGAATCATGTCAATAGGGGTAATAGAGATTGGTAAAGAGCTTGGAATAACAATACAGCCTAGACAGTCCTTGACAAAGACCAATTTCCACACACACCCCAACCCCGTCAACCATCCACCAAATGAACAATAGCTGATTCTATTTTAGACTTGATATATGCTGAAGATTATATGTTTCAGAAAGTTTTTCATATGAAATAGCCTTGAATAGAGCAATCATGACATGATTTGGCTAAAATAGCCAAAATTGGCACAAAATAGCATCTGGATTTTAAAAGAACAAACATGTACGACATTGGCTGCTAGAGTTAGCTGGAACAAGAGGAGCAGAAACTTTATCATGGACAAGGCCTCCAATTTCTTTCAGAAAGCAATGCCAAAAATTCAAAAATAAGCACTCCAAAGAATAATCGTTCCAAGAAAAAAAAAAAACAGAAATCCTCCAGACTCATTAGCAGACATGTTAGAAGTAAGCATAGGAGGAATGGAAAAAAAAGACTACAGTGAAATTATAATACATAACTGCTTCAAAATATCATGTCAGTCACATTAAAAACAAACATCATAAAAATGTCTTTTTGCCACATGAAGGAAAAAAACTTACTTCATAGAGTCTGGGTTACAAAGCAAGGCTAATCTAAAATTACATATGGCAAATTAAGCAACAGAATTGCAAGTAACAAAGACTACATGATCATAGAGGTGAACATTAAAGATTTTTCCCTGTCAAATCCAACATCATCATCTGTAAAACTATAAAGGAAAGCCATCAATTAATCATAACATAAAACTAAATCACAGGAAGGTTCAGAAGAGATTTTCTTAGAGAAAATTAAGGCAGTGCCTATGTGCAAGACAACAAAGTAAGATACTACACAATGCTGTTCTGGTACCTAAGAAATGCTCTTCTGTCAAGGAAGCAGCCTTTTGCTCCAGTGTTCCCTTCAGCTCACACTCTCTCCTTGCACTGTGCTAAGCACCTCTGGTGAGGACTGGCACAGGCTGCCCAGAGAAGCTGTGGGGTGTCCCATCCCTGGCAATGTTCAACACCAGGCTGGATGGGGCTCTGAGCAACCTGGTCTCATGGAAGGTCCCAGCCCATGGCAGGGGGGTTGGACTAGATCATCTTTAAAAGGTTCCCTCCAATTCAAACTGTTCCATGATTCTCATGGAACTAAACACAAAGATCTAGACAATATGAAGAGGGTTAAAACAAAACACATTTATATTCATTGCCTCTCAAAATATAACAAAAAAATAACCACCATTGCATCAGGACTTTCATTTATATATGCACACACACAGAGCATCAGTGCACATAGACACAGCTCAGCCTCTGCAACAATAAGAACATACTACTCCCAAAAAGATAGGTCAGTAAAGTAATTCAGTGAAACACCACTGAAATAATACATTTCTGTCACACTTAGAAAGATTATTTATTAAAACAGAGTTTGCTAGAAAGTTTGGGTAGACTTTTAAAGATACACAGACAGAAATATTAAAAACCAAAATTACAAACAAACCAGAAAATATAGCCTACCAAATATGTTGGTGGAATGTCCTTTCCGGGCAATTGGTTTGAGCTCATTATGGCCCCATCCATATTGCCTATAATTGTCCCAGGCATGCTTCATCATCTAAGAAACAGAAAAAAATAGGATTTGATTACATTATAAAAGTACTCTCTATGAACAATATTTTACTCCTTATTTGAGACTTCATCTTTCATAGGCAGCGCAGCATACTGACTAATTACTTTGTCACTGCTTCTATCTCCTGCAGAAATCAGATTTTACAGCATGAATAAATTAGGAAAAAATTTAAAGTCTATTTGACTTGAGCTATGGAATCTAATGCTCTGCATTAGCTTGTTTTCTTGTTCTTTCTTTTCCTTTAAAATATGCACAGACATTTAAGAATGTAACCATAAGGAATGCATTTAAGTGTAAGAAATTGCTATAAAACACTGGCTACTGTCTTAAGGTGCTAACTAAAATAAAAATATACCTACTGATACCTGAAGCATTAAAAGGATTTATTTACACCGGTACATCCAAGTAGGAATCAACAATTTTGCAAAAGGCTTAACAGATTTCTCATTAGCAACACCTACTTGATGAAGATGTACCATCATATAGCCTCTACCAAAAGAAATGCCAAAAGCTTTGCTTTTAAGAAAGCATAATGAACAAAGCAGTATAATGTTAATAATATTTACTACACAAAACATTTAGCTTTTTAATAGATATTTCCACCACCTAGTAAGAAAATTACATCTAAAAACCCAAAAGGTCTTGCTGACTAGTTGTGCACATCAGCCACTAAGCAATGCTTTTATGAATTCGCTAAAACTCTTCAAACTCCTTACTTGTTGGAAATTCAGCAGCCACCAAATTGCAAAGTGAATGCAGTTTTAAAGAAATAAGTATTATTAGTACCTAAACAGATAAAAGTAATAGGAAATTAGACATCAAAAGACATTGACTGCCCCAGACACAAGAACACTAAGAAGAAACCTTTATAACAACAGCAATGTGTCTGTATCCACAACATTATACATTTTTTATTTTATTTTTCATTTTAAAAATGGTATTATAATAGTGTTAATATAAACAAAGTCCCCAAGAAAATGTATAGGACTTAAAATAATGATTTTCACAAGTTTGATAAATGCTTTCTAAGAGGAGAAACTATGTGAATGTAACTAACAGAACAATACTAACCCTTTAAGAAACTGAGGCAAGGCAATCTGTTTTCACTATGATTTACATGACCGTAATTTTCTTACTTTAATCAGAGCCACCATACTCACAGAAAATGTGAGGGAACAAGCAGATGCTGGCTAAAAAATGAGGTGCAGCCAGCTGCCTTACCAGCACTACTTCACATCTCTCCTCTTACTACGTGTCAGATCCCTCCTCCCACCAAATTCAAGATTTAGTGGAAGTCAGCATGCAAGAATCCCAGATTTTTCAAACTGCATCTAAACTGTCAGCTGAGAATAGAAAACAAAGTCCCTGTTCTCCCTACAACCATCAAGAGATCCCTATCCAAACTACAAAGCTGTAATTCCTTTAAATGTAAACTCCCTCCAAATTTCCCACGGCTCAGTTAACTCATGCCTAGAAAATAAATTTGAACCCTACACACAGGCCCAGGAAACTGGGGAGCACTTCTGTGTTAAACTGGCATCAACCTAAGCACACTGCCCCTCTCAAGATGCCAAAGTCCCACTCTTACTGCTTGTCAGCTCACATGTTGCTTTTAGTATTTGCACTAATTTTGACACCTGATTAGGCCACAATACTCTAGAACTTTTTTTAGTGTAATGAACTAGCAGTGTAAGAAAAAGTGGATGCAAATATACTAAAAGAGGAGAGAAAAGCCATTTCCCTAGCATTCACAAACTCCTAAGTGTTTACATAGCACTTATCAAACTGGCCAATTCATGGCTATTGAAACATCAAGATGAGTCAGGTAAAGGGACCCTCTCTTGACAGGTAAGAAAACTGCAGCATGACAAATCCAATAAAAGCCTGGTCACAGGCAGTAAGCACAGAAGTTCCTCTGAGAGCTCTCACTTATGTTATCTAGAACAAACCTACAAATTCCCATATAAAATTGCTCATTAACTTAGTATCATAAAAGCTAGACTCACATCATCATTCAGATGGGAAGGAATCTCAGGATGCCTCTCCTGTTCAAAGCATGATCACTTATGGGATCACTCTGGGCTACTTTAGGCTTTACCTAGTTCGGGGAAATTTAAGAACTGGAAACAGTCAAGGCTTCCGTGAAGGGTCCTGCTCTAACCTGCAGCCTGCTAGTCCTAAAAACTCTACGTGGGAAAACAGACCTAAAGGTTTAGAAAGAACTAGAGGATGAAACTAAAGACTGACCAGTGCACCCTATGTGTTTGAAAACAGACAGATGACTAAACAACATGTGACCATGACATGGGAGATCCAACCAAGTGGCTTGCACATAAGGGAAACTGGGCTTTGGATGCCCCAAATAAATATTTCATGAAGGAGAATCAAATAGCCATTGACATTCTAGCTTTTTAAAAATCTGATGGTATAGCAAATACCAGAACAGATCAAAACTAGCTAAGTCCAGGAGAACAACTTGTTTCCCCACAGCAGAATGTTAATTGTGGAATATTTCACTGTCCTAATTCACTGTGCTTCTGGGGGGAAGGTACATAATTTATTACAGAATATTTCATTCTGAAGAAACCCAAAAAAGTATGCAAATTACAAAGGGCTAAAACAGAATACATACAACACAAGATGTTTCTATATATATAATTTATCCTAAGAAAATTTTATTAAGATAGAAACTGCAAAGGAGTACATTTCAATGTATACATGAATTTATGCAGAAGCAACTTAAGAATACACTAGTAAGACGTGAAAGTCTCTTGAACACAAGAGACTAAGACACAGTTGACTGCATCAACTAAGAGTGAGATAAGAAATCATATTTTGAGGAGACTAAGCTACTTTGGTAACCACAAACACGTCTGCCCTGCCCCTCTGCCTACCCCAAACACTAAGAATATGGTGTTTTAAGTCCTTGAGAATCATTTATTACACTAAGTAGCCACCTGATTTTTTCCAGATGAATGCTGACCATTACTCTGGCACTCAACTTGCTGCTTTCCTCCACCACAAAGCAAGCAGACTTCATGGTATCACGTTAGCGGAGAGCTGCACATTACACGCAAGTGAGAAGCCCCAGAGCTCTTGCATACAGTATTAAGTTTTGTAAGGATGATCTGCCAAGAGATCTTGTAACAACATGGAGGTTTCTGTTACTGCCAGAACAGGTAGCATGTTATGCTACAGACAGAACATCTGTATTATTGGAAGCAGTTGTGCACACAAAAGCTTTGGAGAGACACAAGAAGACAGATGCCTCTGACAGCTAAAAAATGTAACTGAGGATGGCATTTTGGCTCAGAAAGTACAAGTAACATGAAGTCCTGATAGGAAAAACAAAGTTATTTCTGCAGTTACACTAGGAAGTGTTTGCATAATACAAACTGGAAATGCTGAAGAACAGCTACAGGGATAGATAGGCTTTTCCTAAAACAAAGCTCTGTCTTTAGGAGGAGAGGAAAGTCTCAGAACTGACTGGAACATCAGCACTACAGATTATAGCAAGAAGGTAAAACTATTAGCAAAACAAATGTACCCAGGCCTTAAAGAACTCAAGAGAGGTACCTTAGGCTCAGTAGAATGAAAATTACAAGCATGGATGAATAAGTGTGAAAAATGCAAGACACACATTTCCATAGCTGAAATTTCCATACCTGATAGCAGTTGTCAGAGGAAAGGATTGGAACTTGGCCATGTCATATATAGATCTTGCAATCTGTCCACCAGAGAACAAGCAGTTTTGGCAATGGATTTTTTACTGACACCATTAATGACAGATCTTGCTTTTGAAAACAAAATCATTCATAGGGTATTGGTCTGTTGCATACTAATCTTGAAAATGTTTATTATGTGATACAATGGAAGTAACAACCAGCAAGATACTGCTGCAAATGCAACTTGGCAATTCTACAAAAAAAGACTAATTTGGACTCTGCTGCAAGAGAGACAGAAAAGCAAAAAGCAAGACCTGCAAAATGAAACTGCTTTTGTAGGTACACCATTATCTAGTTGGTTTTTCTGACTTTAGAACATGTTCATGGGATCTAATCCTCTAAAGTTACTGGAAAATCAAGATTTTTATAAACATTTTTTATAAAAACAGAGCGGCAATGATGTATTTTGACAAACAAAGAAGAAGGCTACAATTATTGAAAAGAGAGTTGTAAGGAAGTTCTACCACTATATCAGCATGTCAAAAACAGTAATTCAAGCTAAGGATTGGTTCAAAAATCCCTTTCCAGTCTTAAAAATAGGACAGCAACTGGCAAACAGAAAGTAGGAGTCCTGAGAAATAAGCAAAAGATGCAATTTTCTGGCAAATTGCTGTATTTACTGGTTCCTGCCATTCCATCAGGAACGTGCATAACAGACAGCAAATAGGTTTTACTTTCAAAGCAATGTATTCTGCTTAAGGATACAATTTTGAGAGATTTATATAAACCACCTTCAACCTCTGTTTTAAAATTAACCAAGGACTTGCTAGACAAAATTACTGCTCAATTGGCAGATTAAAAATTAATAACCATTTTCCTACTGTTGGACATTAATTTAAAAATTACCTTTTCCTTGTATACTCAGATTTTTTATGAAAATTAGAAAACTCATACATTTATTTTTATTTTTATGGGAGCTCTATCTCAAATTATTTCAGGCATCAATTCATGCCTCTGTTATGCATTTTTAAAAATTGTCACTGAAAAAGTCTGTTTGGAATATGTTCCTAACACACACAAAACACTGGGTTTTCTTTTACTGTCAAATCTAGTAACAAATCCATTAATAAAACAATAGCACTTATCAAATGGATGCAAAGTAGGAAACTCCTTTTGCTGGCATTAAATTCTTGAAGCCTTAGATCCCTAATGAAATTATATAGGAAAAAATCCTTCAGATTGGTGAGAACTGGAATGATAGATGTAAAGAACCTGAATTTGGAGAGCTTGCAGCAGTGAACCTTGGTCAAAAATATTCAA